TTTATATTATTTTATATTATTTTATAGTATGTAGCAGAAATTCATTGTATATTTCGAATTAATATTAATTAATAATTAATGATTAAATTAATAATTATAAATAGTTACAAATAAACGATTTTTTATTTTATTATTTATTATTTTTTTATTTTTAAAAATTAAATAATCTTTTAATATTATGTTTGGATTATGATACTTTAAATATCTTATTAATTATTATATTTAATTAAAAGAAATAAAAAATAATTAATCTACATCTGATACATGATTTTAATGATTTTATAATAAATAAATAAATAATATTAAAGTGCTTTATTACATTTATAAAATCATACATTAATTATTACAAAAATTAATTATTAATTTGAAAATTATTCTTTTCACAGTCACGTGTAAGAACTAAATAATTTTAATATAAAAAATATTTACAATAATAAATATCTATACAAATTTAATTATATCTATGATTTTATATCAGATGAATTGAAACAATGAAAAAAAGCTCTATTATTTGAGAATGCTTTTTAGATTTAAATTATATAAATAAAATTTTCACGATACTACAAATCTTTATTTAATTTTTATGATTTTATTTTTGCAGGCGAATTTGAAAAATCATATTATATATCATCAAAGGATTAAGTAATTTGAAAACAATTTTTATAATTATATTTAAATATTAAATAATTTCAAAGTAATAATTTTAATATTTATACAAACTTAAAAAATTATTAATTGATATTTATCTAAAACAATATTAAAATGCTCTTTCCTTTATTTTTGTAGATTAATTATCTACGTAAAAAATTTTCATTATATATTGAAAAATCGTACACAATCATCTTGAATTAAACTAATAATTAAACTGAATCAACATTTTACCATGAACAGTACATAAGTAGATTCAAGATTCGTCGAAATTTTTGCTATTTTTTTCTTTCTAGACCTTACATATCTCGAATCTTCATCGCAGATTGCACTCTAATTCTTTGGAATATGATACTCCTATTTGCAATTGAATACCCATAGAAATCGGCAAAACGATCGTCATCATGTATCAGGTGGACGATAACGACTCGATGGGAACGTTCTTGTTTACCGATCGATGTCTGTCGCATTTCACCTGTCGTTATCGCCAACTCGATTTCCTTTATGGCTATTGGGATGGCCGATCGTTTTCGCCGCGCGTAGAAAGCCCAAGTCGCGTTGCACGTTTCGTTTTTCTTCGATTACCATTCTGTCGCTTGAATACTTAACGAAATAACAAAGATTTGTGTCTTTCCTTTGACGATGTGACAAAATGAGGAGAAGGAAAATTATTCGAAAAGTTATTTTCTTCTCATCGAAAATTTTGATAAACATGAATTCATCATTTCTATGAATATTATTGGCGTATCATTTAACTATTTGGCAATGTAATGAAATAATAAGGAATTCGATTAAGAAAGTAGTTGTTTTCTTGTTATCAAGATTTTTGATAGATATTTGATTCTACGAATATTCTTGTTTCTGTTTAAATAAGAACGAATTCGATTCAGAAAATTTTTAATTTTTTAATATTTTCTTACAGATTTTTCATAGATATTTTTGATATATCATTTTTTCATCGAAATAATGAAAAAATAATTTTGTCATCAAAATTTTTAATAAATATTTGGTCATCCTATAAATAGTAAATAATAGTATCATTGTTATTATTTAATTTGAAAATACAAGGAATTGATTAAAAAATATGCTATTTAATCTTTTGACGATATAATGAAGTAAGAAGAAATTCAGTGTAGAAAATAATTATTTAATTTAGATTTTTGATAAATATTAATAAGTTAGATGCATTATAAACTTCATTTTATTTAAATTTTAATGATTTTTAATAATTTATCCAAATTAAATTAAAACTATAAAAATCGAAAAAAAAAGATTTATTTGTTATAAAATCGAGATATAAATTGTTAATTACAATTAATAATAATTTATTAAATAAAGTTCAAGTGAAAATTAAACTTCGTAACAACAGATTTATTTCACATAGAATTCACGAAATTTTTCTCTCATCGTTGTTCCGTGACTAAATTACCAACGAGTACAAAACTTTCTCAAACTTTTTTTAACTTCATAAAACTTCTTCTAAAAGTCTCATTACATCAGTTGAATGTAAAAACTGGCAGTAGAAAGACAGGTGTCCTTTCATCGCAGGTATCTTCGTCCACCCTAAACCACCCCTTTAAAGAATATCATAGTCATGCTGCACGCGTCGACGAACGGTACTCATTGTCAATCCTTCCTAATCTTGGAATCATCAAACCAGCTGTATCATGAGAGCATGAATTAAATCAGCTGATTGTTAGTCATTTGGTATGAGTGAAATTCTAAACAAATTAGAAGAATGCATGTTTAGTTTCTTTCACATAAAAATACAAATATACATACAAGGCCATAGTTCTATAATGGATATTGATTATTTATATATGTATATGTATGTAAATTTTATTATTTTGTTAATCTATTATCAATATAGCGAAATATAGATTAAACATTTTGTTTGTAAATTGCATACATATTTGAATACTTGATGAAAAACACATAGTGCAAGAAAAGAAGATTATATGATATTTATTTATGAATAATGGAAATGTTATAAAAAAATTATTTTTTATTTTTTTATTTTTTTTCAATTATTTTTATTACATGACTTTGTATAAATACCTAAAAGAATTAATTTTCATAATATATGTTAATTATACAGATTTGGGTTAAAAAAAATGGAATTATTCATAATTTTTAACATTTTTCATGTTTTTTAATAAAATTTAAAAAATCTGAAATTTAATCGAAAATTTTATTAATTATTAATAATTTATATATTATAATGCATAATATTTTATTATACTCTTATGGTTGCTAACTCTTCTGATATTCAATTAAAAATATCTGATGTTTACTTAAAATATTTGTTCATGAACCACTATATTAATTGATTTAATAAAAAAATTCTCTATTTAACAAAATCATAATAAAACAAAAATGCAACAAAAATTATTATTATGTACATATTTTAATAACCAACAAAAATAATAATTAATATTAATAAAGTTAAAAATAAGTTACTATTACTAAATATCGTTCAAGTCTTTCGATAAAAATTTTAATTCAAACAAAAAATATCGAAAATTGTGAATGATTTTTTGCTTATTTTTTTGAC